ATATATAATATTATAATGATATAATTAATAAGGTACTTATATTGTTACTTAAAAAGCATATATCAGTCCTGATAGAGCAGTAAGCCGTATGCTAGAAATATATATATTTTTATTCTTATTACAATTTGCTACAGAACTCGTCTATTTAATTTACTCATATAGTTACATACTTTTTTGTCTGACTCTTTGTAACAAACTTGTCATTAACAAGTTGAATTACCTAGGAGAGTCTAACAAAATATTAGCTTCCAAGATCTTACGTAATTATTATCAGGATTAACACGAGCGATGCCAATTTTAACAAACTCTTTATCTAGTTATTTGTACTTTAAGATTGTTGAAAGCGCAGGTCAGCGACTCAATTTTGTCTCAACAGATTTTATCACAGATTTAGCCGTCCAAAAAAATGTTCTAACGATTATAATAGCGTTATAAGATATTTGAGTGACTGCAGAGAATGCGATAAATACTATGCGGATATCCGAAAATTATCTAGACGCGATTTTTGCATCAATATCATGGGTATATTTGAATTTTATTGATCTGTCAGTGCCTTGCGTAAGCGAATCAAATATCATGCATAAATCAAAATCATTTGTTATAAAAGTAAGAATAATGCGCTTTTTTATCTACTCAACGAATGCAGTATTTATCAATAAAATTCAATTTAATTCAAAACAAAATTTTTCGGATACCTGCATTCGTTTCAAATCAATGCTGTGAATAAGATATATTTTGGGTTTATGAGTGTCAATTGATTATTTTTGGGTTTTGTTTTGGTGTAACTAATTGCTAACACAATACACGTATGTATATTTTATTATATGAGTTTTCCATTTTTTTATAACTTTGTTTTACAAGTTTAATCATATTGTGTTTCATATTTTCTTCCGACACACAATTTAATTTTGATATATTTATTAAAGAAAAAGAAATAGAGTGAATTATCGATCACTGGTGTCCACAGGTATAGCTGAGTATTTTTTATATCGATATTATTAATCTTCTTCTATTAACACTTTTCTTATACATTAGACTTTATTCTGAGTCATCTTTGAAAAAAAAGACAACTGTTTTAATAGCAAGATTCTCATAAAATGTTGCATAAGTAAAAGTTAGAATTAAATAACCTTTGCTTGTTAATACAAATTTTCCTTATATCTAGTCTATAATATAACTGGAGATATGCGTACATTTGTTAGCATGTAGAATATCATAATTACGACGATTCCTATCGTTAAATTTTTGATCGATAACATCATGTGCCAAAGTTCTGTGAAAATTTCCTTTAATATCAATATCCTTTAATATCATAAATGAATCTTTATGGCAAATATTTCTATTTTATCGATACGCCAAAACAATCATTGATCTTTTCGTTCATCAAAGCATATTAGTAAAAAAGGTATATTAGAACGCACGAAATACATTCGCGCATTCAAATAGCTTGCTTAACAGAACTGCTTCAAAAAGAGAAGAGAATGCATGCCAAACGTAGAGTTCTGTCGATAATAGCTTTTTACAAAGATGCTAGTTGATTTTGTGCGATCTATATATCCGTAGAAGAATCTCTGCGATACAGGTAATGTTGAACGTGTATATATATATATATATTATTTTTTTTGGCAATATAGTAGCAAATGTAGGATCGCGTGAATGTACGATTAAATCGAGAAAGAGAGTGCGAGTGTGAGAGCGAGAATAATAGATAGAAGTAGTAATTTTTTTATTGTAAAAATATTCAGCTATCGACTGAACGTGGGCACCATTGTACATATTTATATATTTTACAATAAACATTTTCGCTGTTTACAACTTCATTTCATTTATGAGCCCACCCGTACACTTATAACTTATCATTACCGTACTATTACTATAACTACTACTATTACAGCTACTACTACTACTACTGTTACTATTACTATCACTGCTGTTACTATTCCTACTATCGTTACTTTTGCTATACTAGTACTATTACTACTATCACTGTTACTACTGTCACGTAAACTATCATCATTAACATTGTTTCACTTATTATGACTTACATTCCCCCGTAATCATTATTCATATTGATTAAGTTTTTTGCACCATCAGCGCGTTACACCTTGTATATTGTCTTAATATTGTATCGTGCGTTGTATAATGTGTTTGTTGTGTTACGTACGTTTGCGTTTGGTTGATCACCTATCACTTATAGTTTATCATATGAATAAACAGATTACAATTGACAATCTAAACATCCTAGGGAAAGTCATATAATTAATGTAATATCTTGATTTTTTTTTAAATTACCACGTTAGAGTGCAGTTGATAAGCAATAACTTGAGTCGCCTAAATCTTTGAACGTAACAAAATTTAATTAATATTTACGACGGTACCATTTATGACGTTATCGTCAATATCGTATTACAACTAATTTTCCCTCCGAGTGCAGAAAAGAAAAAAAGCTTAAAAAAAGAGATAAAAGCTTAAAATTTATCGCTTTATCTTTCAATCTTTGGCATATTGGGAAATTAGGTATTACCCTTAATGTTTCTATCTATTCTCGGCAGTCCTTATGACTTTATCTCTCATTTGTTTTCAATAATCCGGTATACGTAAACATATTATAAGGGAAATTAGCTAAATGTTGATGTTTTTGTGTCCCGTGCACTTCTTTTCGTGTCAACCCCCAATGACCTCATCTGACCTGCTACCGATCGAAACTCGAAAATTGAATACCAAAAGTGGACCTGCCTGAGATTAAGGGGAATCACCGCAAATTCCGTAACCTCGTCACCAGCTATATAGGTAACTCTGTCTATGTGTGCGTCCATCTGTCCATTTTTGTACGAATGTATGTACATTTGTTTCCACATAATTCTTTGCCTGTATGCGCGCATCTTTTTATGAATGATTTTGGTTTTCATGTTTCACTAGAGTATGTGAAGTTTCATTCTCATCTCTCTCTTATTTTTCACAAATTTTTATTTAACAAATACAGTGTTTATAAAAATTTTTTGGAAGACTTTAGAATGTTTATTTTAATAAGATTTTAAATTAATTAGTTAAAATATTGACGTAATTAGTGTTAGATATCTTTGCATGCGAAAATATTCAATATACTAGAATGTTGCATATTTATTTTTTTATTTCTGGATTTAAAACTAGAATAAGACAAATCGATATATTTTTAAAAGAAATCAGTTATGCACATAGCATTATGTAAAGCTTATTTCACAATATAAGTATAACTTTAACATAATAAAACACTTTGAACACAATTTCTATCTGCTCACTAACATGTATGGTTTTCTAAAATTTGAATGTTTCTACTGAAAGATGTTTCGAGTGAATTTAAGCAGCGGAATTATATACGAGTGAATTTTTCAAATGTCTTTGTGAGTGTGTTTCTTATTTCTACTTCTATTGCTTTTGTAACCTGCCTGTGAGAATTGTACGCCTGATACGCCTGATATTCTTTTTTCGTTACTCTACACATATTTCTGTCCTCCAACTTTTCGACACACATCTCGCAATACACAGTCGGAATTTTTTTTATAAATCTTATTTTTCTCAATGTATCCTAGAACAGCAATTAATGAATTCTGCACTTCTTTTTGACACTATATTTCTACACAGCATCTCGCAAAGAAAAAACAAGAAATATTCCAATAATCGCATTTTATCCAGCGTATTCTCACTTAAGTTCTCTACCTAAATCTCAGTCACAATCTTGAAATTTCCCCGTCACATTCGGTATCGTGCAGCAATTAGTTTAGCCTAGACATACCCTATAATCACGGCACGGACCGATAGATCAATGGATAAACATCTGTGTAATTTACAATGAAATCTAATTGTTACATATGCATAAAATGTATTTCTACAGACTCCAGCACAATTCTTTCATGTACGTACATACTTCTTTTGTGTGACGTAACTACGTAGGCATGGATTAAGATGTAGTGCGTATACAAGTGACAATTGCTAATTTAAAAAAAAAGTTCTCGCTTGAAAGCAAACGAGGTCAATAAATGTTGTTCGCTTGACTATATTCTCATTTATTCTTATGAATATATGTTAGTACATTCTATGTCAGCAATTAGTACAATTAAAAATGTGAATATTTTACGATAAGTATATATATATATATATATATATATATATATATATATATATAT